GCTATTACAAACACCAAATATCCTTATGTTGCCATGTTAGCAAAGCGCTACCTGGCTGTATCTGCTACCTCTGTCCCTAGAGAGAGGGTGTCCTCCACAGCAGGAGACATTGTTAGTGCCAGCAGATCTGCCCTTTCAGCAAGCAATGTGGACAAGTTCATCTTTCTTTAAAAAAACATGAAAATACAATGACAAGCAAGTCCTAATGTCAAGCTGGCTGCTTAGGTGCTAGTACAGTACAGTTCAAATACAGATTATTTCAGTTCATCGAAATGCTGCACCTTAATGGTTATTTTATTATATTTTGTATTTATTTGAGTGAATACATTATTCACAGTTTAATAATAATACCATATATATATATATATATGTTTTATTTTGTGAAAAAAAATTCTGCTGTACCGAAAACGTACCGAACCGAACCGTGACCAAAAAACCGAGGTACGTACCGAACCGAAATGTTTGTGAACCGTTACACCCCTAATGTTCACTATAAGGGGCTGTGGAAGGGGTGCACAATCAAAAGGTACATTCTTTGAAGTAATGTCAAACAATGACAAACACAAAGCCATAATTAGTGAATATACTGTGCTTTGTCCAATTTGATGATTTTTATTTTAACAGAATCGAACGTTTGTGGCGAGATGTTTGGATGGCTGTTTCAAATGTGCACTACGAGGTTCTTCACAGCCTCGAGGATGAGGGTGTTCTAGATCCGTCTGATAGCATCCACATGTTCTGTGCCCAGCATGTTTTCTTCCGCGTCTTCAGAGGGATCTCAATGTCTTCAGGATGGGTTGGGATAATCACCCTCTAAGGACAGAGCGAAATTTGTCCCCACACCAACTGTGGACAATGGGACTCCTCCATAATCCTATTGATGTTCCAGACCTTGCAGAGGTACTCATTACATGTTTATTTCAAGCAAAATTGTATCAACATAATTTTGGCCAGTGTTCTCAAACTATTTAAACTAAAATATATTAGACCAAAGTATTGTGCTTAAAACAGCTTAACAAAATTTAAAGGAACTCCATTAAACTTATATTATGAAAGAAATTGGCATTGCCACTGTATGTTCACTGTTCATTACATTAGTATTGAACCTTTGGGCTAGGAAAACATTATATTTGTCATGTTTCAATGGAATTTACAATCACTAGCATCAAATAAATGAAAGATAGATATTTTTCTATAAAATTGCATAAAACTTGGTTACTAATGTAAAATGCAAAGCATGGGACTGCACTTGAAATGCATTTTGTAAGACCTCAATCACCTCTTTTGATAGGTGTACCGTTGAAAAGGCAAAAAAGTGTTTTGTTTTTATTCTTTACATTCTCTAGTGTTTGTGGTGCTTAAAGTTATTCTTGGTCCCCTAAAATCCATGACTGATATTTAATTTTTATCAAGGAAATGGAGGATGCAGATCTTGATTTCAACACTTCCAGTGAGCCAGATGAGACCAGTCCTGGAGTGATTCTCCCACCTGTTGAAAGTCCCCTCAGTGAGCAGGATATGGCAGGACTTTTGGCCAATATTGATGTTACAAGACCATCTGGGTCCGACGGCTGAGACATTTATTTAGCTGTATTGAACCATGTACTAAATCATGCATCCTAAATGCAAACATGTTTCAAGGGTTTAACCATTTAGACATTGTGACGGCCCCAGAGCCTGTGTGCAGGTGTGTTTCAGGTCTTACGGTGGGGTGGAGCTGAAGAGGCCAATCGGCGCGATCGCGGACACCTGGCCGGAGCTGAGGTGCTATTAAGCCCAGCTGCCCGGAGTCACATGGCGGCCCTGACTCTCTCCAAGCCGGCCGCAGGAGGAGTAACACGGCGATCCTCTCCCCTCGTCCATCCATCTTGTACTTTATACTGAACAACCGCAATAAATGTGCCGTGGTTTTTGGAAACTCGTGTACGTCTTGTCATCTTTCCGTTGTGGTCTACGAGCCAGTCATAACAACATCAACACCTTTAAACCCTTAACATTTTATTATATTCCATATCACAGTTCTGGGTAGCAACATGTTATATCAATTTGTTTGTTTTTCTTTAAGAAATGTTTAACCGAGTGGTGTAGTGATGACGTATTTGTGTAGTTCGACCCGGAAGTAAGCTGCAAGGGTTCCCTCGACAAAAAGCAATGGGATATCCTACAGTATGGAGAAATCCCACTGCTTTTTTGTTGAGGGAACCCTTGCAGCTTACTTCCGGGTCAGCCTACAAAAACACGTCATCACTGCACCACTCTATTGCTGCCATTACATTGTTTTTTAAGATTACTTGACTGGAAGCAGTCAATGCTAAACCTGTGAAGTGAAGTGACGTACTTCCAGTTCAACATGAAAACATTCCCAGTTAAACATGCAAAAACAAATCTCTAAATAAAAAGATAAAACACTGGCATGTAATTTATGTTAGAATAAATAGAATGGTTTTGAATAATAGATGAGTCAAATCTACGTCACTTTACAGCCCCGCCCACTTTTGGGGAAACCAACGCTGTCATTTTAACGGCGATCAAGCCTGAAGCCACAGAGCTCTTCTGTTACTGTCCTTTCTTCTTAGAGGAAGTACAGAAACACGTAACTCTGGATTTGTTTGAATGTTTGAGGTGCAATAAACGACAGCAGATTTTTGGCATGTTAAAACTATTATTTTCTGCCTCGCTCATGAGAGTAACAGCTGGCGAAATTACAGCCTTGCCTACTGATTTTAATTTAACCATATATCGAGCCTGATTCTCGATTTCAAATGTGTGCTCTAAAATGATATTTATAAATGACTTGACAAGACTGAGCTGCTTTTCCTTCCGGGAAAAGATTGTCCCACTCTTGACCTGACTATCAACATCGGCACCTCTGTTGTTTCCCCGACTCAGACAGCAAGCAATCTGGGTGTGATCCTAGATAATAACCTGTCCTTCACTGCAAACATCGCTGCTACAACCCGTTGCTGCAGATACACGCTTTATAACATCAGGAGGATGCGTCCCCAGCTGACCCAGAAAGCCACGCAGGTTCTGGTCCAGGCTCTCGTCATCTCACGCCTAGACTACTGCAACTCCCTCCTGGCTGGTCTACCTACATGTGCCTTCCGACCTCTGCATCTCACCCAGAATGCAGCTGCTCGTTTGGTCTTCAACCTTCCTAAATTCTCCCACACCACTCCGCTCCTCCGCTCCCTTCACTGGCTTCCGGTAACTGCTAGAATCCACTTCAAGACACTGGTACTTGCTTACCATGCTGCGAATGGATCTGGCCCTTCCTACATCCAGGACATGGTTAAACTGTACACCCCAGCACATGCACTACGCTCTGCATCAGCCAAACGACTCGCTGCGCCCTCGCTGCGAAGGGGACCCAAGTTCCCATCAGCAAAAACACGTGGGTTTGCTGTCCTGGCTCCAAGATGGTGGAATGAGCTCCCCATTGACATCAGGACAGCAGAAAGCTTACACACCTTCCGGCGCAGACTGAAAACTCATCTCTTTCGACTCCACTTCGAGCGATAGAACTATTAACAAAGCACTTATATACTAATAAAGGACTGGCTTATCTAAAGCCAGTTGAGTAGCACTTGAAATGTTTGGCTCTATGAAACCTGATGTACTTATATGATTCTGTTTTCTTCAAGGTTGTGTCTTCCTGGTCGAATGTACTTATTGTAAGTCGCTTTGGATAAAAGCGTCAGCTAAATGCAATGTAATGTAATTATCATTATTATAAGCAAGACAATAAATGGCAAAGATATGTAGAACATAAATGTATTTAAGATACGTTCATAACAAACGTGACGTGGGAGAAAATGTGTTTCTAGAAGATATGTAGAAAATAAACATATTTGAGATACGTTCATAACAAACATGACGTGGGAGAAAATATGTTTCTAGAAGATATGTAGAAAATAAATGTGTTTGATATACGTTCATAACAAACGTAACGTGGGAGTATCATATGCACGCAAAACTCGGCCTCAGATCTCAATGGGAATGGTTAGCGTATCATTATGCACGCAAAATCGGACTTCTGCATATCTATTGCACGCATTTCCAATGTGTAAAGTTGTGTCATTGGTACGCAGACTGAAGAGAGTGGGTTGGTTTAGTAGGTTGTGGAAGTGCGATCCAAAACATTAGTTGATCTTCTTTATTCGTATTTATTATTTTGATATTTATTTAAAAAAATGTTTTTATTGGTTTTTAAGTTGAATTATACTTAAAGTTGAGGGTATTCAACTGTTAAAAACATACTGTTCAAATTTCAATGAATAATCGTATTTAATAATCGTGGTATCAATATTGACCAAAAATAATCGTGATTATGATTTTTACCATAATGGAGCAGCCCTAGTTATAATAATAACAATACTTTTCTTTTTTACCCTGCCCTGTAAGCAAGTGTATCTAAAGGATATGTGCTTTTGAATTTGCTGCATTACTGCAGTCAGTGTGATTACAAACAGTCATGGTTTCTGAATGAAATGCAGAAAAGAAAAATCAATCATCCAGTGCTGGACAGTGGCTTTGGTCAACCTTCTTGACTATGACTAATGGCTATTCTACAACTAAACTTTGTAGCAGCTAATCACCAAAACCAAATGTTTAATCATGTGTTCTGGAGCGCTCTTCCATTCAAGCCTAAAACCCAGCGAGCGCTCCCTGTGGATCGGCCTCAGCAGCCTCCACTGGGCTCGAGAGGGGCATTGTGTGTGGCACCATCTGCTTGACTATGCAGAGGTGCATTAGAAGGGATTTCTAAGCCATAACACTTTTGGTTGTACTCAGGCACTTTGGTTTAGTGCCATTTGGACACTTACGGCCCGTCTACACTACAGGCATCAAAAAATCTTGAAGCTGGGCGTGTCTGAGGCTTGGCGATTTCTCGCGACCAACAACAATCACATGAATCTTCCGCCCCCGACATACAAAGCAATAGCAATATTAAAACGAAGTAAACTGGATATAAAATCCCCAAACAGACGAAAACCTACCAGTTTCATCCACTGTCTCTGCCACCTCCCTCCATGCCTGGTTCCTCCGGTTTGTATCCCGGTAAATAGTTCTGGTCGTAAAGAACCGGGTGATTTGCTACCGTAATTTCTCGTTTGGAATATGAGGAAATGAACTGTGGTCTGGCTCTCCCAGCTTGCACGCGGTTTGATTGGCTAGCGCTTGTACTGGCGGGATTTGCATAAACGGGATTTGATTGGCTGATGCCAGCTTCGAGCAAGCATCGAGCCTCAAAAGTTGAACATTGCTCAACTTTTGATGCTCGCGATGCTTGCAAAGCCACGCTCCGCTCCCCACAATGCAGTTCGGCGAAGATTCAAAATCAACTACGTCACCCCATTCAAGTGAATGGGCGAAGCGTTGAAAGCATTTTTCGATGCCTGTAGTGTAGACGGGCCGTTAGATGTTGTGAAGCCACAAATATCAACATGTTAACATTGAGTCCGAAAAAACGGTATGTGCAACATATCTTTCGAACTTATAATACCACTCATACAGCTCAGGTAAAAATGAAGAGACAGCTTAAAATTGTTCTTAAATCTGCTATGTATAGCATTAGCAGCCATTCCATTCCAGTGTCGGTTGAATTCCAACACAGAGAAATGTTGTCAGTAGTTTATAGAGTAACATTTAATAAAAACATTCATTTTATAAATAGTACAACAAGAGAAACTGATAATGCTGCAGTGGTCTCTTAATTTTTTTTCAGAGCTGTATATGCAGTTATCATTGGTTTTACAGGTTTTAGTTTGTTTTATGCTTCGGTTTCGAGGCCAATAACTTTCCTGTTTGTGTTCAGCTCTGATAATCCCAGCTAGTTGCTTGTTTTGTCTGTGTGTGGTTTAGTGCTGAGTAGGTAGCATACACCTACGCAGCACCAAACGGCACACAGATTAAAAATAGGAACTAGCTAGTGAACATATGGCGCAATGCTTGAAGCTAAAGAGCCACATTTGTTTGCTAACATATTCACCTTGTGAAGAAAATGATCAATACTTGTAACGTGGTTCATTTATAACAATACAATAATTCTAGGGAAAACAGGCCCCTAACTCTTAAAGGGGCCCTTTTATGCTTATAGTTTACCATTTCCTGTGTGTTATATAGGTTTTTGTACATGTTAATGGTCCGCAAAGGCTAAAATCTGAAAGTTCACGCCAGAATGAGTTTCTATACCACAAACACTTCACAAAGCAGCTTTAATTAACCATCATCCATAGCTAGCCACCTAAAAAGGTTTAGAATATCAAAGTGACATCATGTCATCACTCCAAAGGTTAAAAACTACAATTAGTTTCCACTGATACAGGTAGAACGTACGTAAGGAAAGCAACTGCTGCACAAAAATATGCATCTTGTCAATTAAATGTTACTGACATGTTTTCCACTGAGGGAAAATCGGACCTCCGTGTGCACCATCCACCCCCTACACACATCCATCTCTGTTTATCTCAGGGTATCGTGAGCACACCAGCCTTCAATCTGCAAATAAGCCCGTTTAATTATAGCTAACTGTTGGCTGTGCTCAAAGCCATGAATTAAATTCCATAACGCTGTCCACAATCGATTTCTTAGATCTCATGTGATAGCCATCAACTGCTTAAATAGATCAGCGAGCTGGGAAGCATACCCCGTTGGTGAAAGATGGATGACTTCACAAGGCGTGAATCAATATGTATCCTGCACAAGGCTGGGAATCAAGCTAAAAACTAGCTGCTCTCATTTCAAAATGAAGAGAAGCATCCAGCTTGGTCAGGTTGTTGGCTGTAGATTATCACACATTTGTGTCTCGGACATATGACAGCCAGTGCCGTTCAGTGCGCATGAAAAGTGAGAAATACGGCTTTGCTCTGTGAAAATGTTATCTTGGAGACATGACTAAAAAGGCAGCTGAGTGTCGGTGAAATAACATGGTTAGCTATGGGGTGGAAATATCTAGGCATCTCAATCCAATTTGATTCTGATTCAGAGGGCTGCAGTTGTAAAATTGTATTTATGCAGCTTGATGCATAACTTAACTTTTTTATGCTTTAAGGGTATCCCCACTAATATTTGTTATTAGTATCAATGGAGGTAATAAAAGTGAAACTTGCAAACTAACAGAACCAGCAGTCATATCAGCAGAGGAAATGAGAAAGGACATATAATAATATTTGTAAATTAATTGATTGTTTCTGATGTTAACATTACTGTTTCTCCTGTAGATAGAACACCTACTCATTTGTAATACAACAACATTCTAGCCCTGTTTGAATGTTTTGTTTTTGATTATATAATTACATTGTAAAAGAGTATCAACAATAGTAATAACAAAATAACGCTGTGTCCCTTAGTGGCAATTGTTTTTAGAATTGCTGCTTTAATACACACATGATATTTGTATCAAGAGAGACTTTGGCCTTTGTAATTATTCCTCCAGTCCATGCTACTTTTGAAGCTTACCTGACTACACAGTAAAACATGTGTGTAAAAATCCACTCCTCATTGTCTGTATATAATTTAACCCTGTCCAGTTCTTAACTTTTTTTCCCGATCCAGATGCATTATTCCAACCAGGTGTAACCTTACGGTCTCCCTAAGTAGAAGCCATTACCGTTGCAGAATCCATCTGATGCTGTATGAAAAGCATCTAAATGTAGATTAGAAAAACAGAGCAGCTTAACAACAGCACCAAAGCTTGTGTTTTCAGCTTCCCCCGCACAATTTTGGGGAATAGAAACATTATCATGTGTAAAAACAGCCCACCAGGAGACAACGTTGAACAGAGGTTGAGATAATGTATCGTGCTTCTGGCGTCTGCATCTCAGCTCTGCCCTCCAGTCCAAAAGCAGTCTACCCGTCTTTCATCCGATTGCGTATGCATATCAGTGTCACAGACAAATAAACACTTGCGCTGACTACAGAGCCGACTGTGTTTTGGTTGTCTCTTTCACAAGATTGTAGCTGCACTCGCTTCCAGTCTTTCAACACAATACTCCCTCAGTAGGAATAATTTAATTTGTTGCAATTTTCAACACAGAATGTTATCTTTGTGAACAACACTTGAGCAATCACTCATTTTGCCCAGGCTATTAAAAGAGATTAAGGAAATCGCATCTTAGAGAAAGAGTTGTGAGGCTCCATGTACTGTTGCAGTGTGTGGCTTCTCATAACGATTAATTTGCATCACTCCCAGACCTTGGTGGAGAGTTCTGCTCGTCCGCCCATTCCCAACGCCTCAAGAGGAGAACGTAATCACTGCAATTACCGTTCTTCTAATTAAGGCTTTGCTTGCTGGTGCTTTAATGGACCACACAATACTGACAAATTAATCCATGCTCAGATAATAAATCTGATTTGACAAAGCACAAACTCATTAACCTCATGACCTAATAAGAGTATCCAACAGAGTGTGTAAGATGCTTTGATTGGCTGAACCTGATGGGCTCTTCTTGTCATCCATCTTTACTTGAAAACCATTATTTTCACATGTGATGTTTTTATACTTTCAGGGAATGTCAGCTATGTCTTTTACTGTTATGACTTACAGAACAGGTCCATGTGTTTTACCACTTTACTGATGCTGTAGAACTGGTGATATGTCATTGTTAGGATACGCTTATGTTTTGGGAAGGCATCTCAGTTGCATTTACAGTATGATACATGATGATGATATTCTGGACAGAAGTGTGCCTTAAACATGGCAACAGTTTTCAGGAGGCATTTTTCCTTTTGACAATGTGTTCATTAGGAACGCACGTTAACCGTGACTTAGGTTCCAAGTCGATGGCAATATTCTGAAAACACAACAGTACTCATTTGACTACAAAGCAGAAAGTACCTTTGGGCAGGAGAAAAAGCCCTCCCACAGTCCATAGGAAATGATTTTGGGGTCCAGTGCACTCATTGTTATCTCAGATTTATTTTCCTGATAATGCTACAATATACACAACAAATCTGTGTAGAGTTCAGCTGTAAGCAGCCAGTGAACAGTTCCACAGAGTTGCAAAATAGTGCATTCAAGATCAGTAAAAACATCAATTGGGCGAGGGTAAATTATAGGGTTCCGGTTTCTTTTAAAGGAGATGTTTTTTAATTGATACAATGGTTATTAGCAAGGAAATTATGTTCGATTTTACTTCCTAACCAACAAAAATATGCATAACAGTAATAAATTAGTATTTTCTGTAGTATATATGAGGTATTGTCTTCTTTTTACAGTGGTATCAAATTGGTATCAGAATCTTGGAGCTCCCCCAATTTCTGCTATTGTGACATCCCTTGTGTGTGTGACAATACCCTCATGCACAAAGCATGGCTCCCAAATTGGTGTGGAGGAACATGAATTGCCCACACAGAGGCCTGACATGAACCCCATCCAACCGGAATAAGGATTTACTAAAATGCTGACTAAGAGCCAGGTCTTCTCACCTAACATCAGTGGCCGGTCTCACTGAAGCTTTTGTGGCCGAGCGGTAGCCAATCACTGCAGGCAGATTCCAATGTTTTGTGAAATGCTTTCCCATTACAGCAGAGGATTTCATTGCAGCATATTTATCACCATAGTTTTGAAACGGTATGTTCAACAATCACATAGGAGCGTGATGTTTTGTTTTAAGAAATTAAAGTCATTATCAGATAATATCAGGCTTTGGCAGCAGCCCGGAGACTCACCATTTTATGGCAGTGTTGAATAATCAAACAGCTTCTGTTTTTCTGTCTGTCTCTCTTTTCTGAGACTCGCTGCACTTCTGCTGCCGCTCTCTCCACCTACGTGTTTACAGCGCACAGAAACCCTTTGTTGGAGGCTGTTAAAAGCCATTCTGGGAAATAGCTAACTGATGTAAAAGTTTGACAATGCAGGTTGAGAAGAAATGGGTACACGAAAAATATAAATTACAATACAGCTACAGAAGTTTGATCAGACAATTTTGATGTAGAACAATGTTGGAGTTTTTGAGGGTGGATTTATGGGACTGAAAGCTTGTTCACCGAAAAAGTAAAAGAGGTCTTCAACCCACAGTGGCTATCAGTTTCAAGTCAATGGGGCTTCAATTTGATAGGTTTCAGATTTGTTTGGGTAAAATGCCTAATTATGCTATGTAATGA